TAAATGAAGACGTGAGGGATTAAATGAGGACGTGAGGGATTAAATGAAGATGTGAGGGATTAAATGAGGACGTGAGGGATTAAATGAAGACGTGAGGGATTAAATGAGGACATGAGGGATTAAATTAGGAGGTTTTTGGGGACTAAAGGTCTCGTGAGTAGAATCTGGAGCCTCTAGTGGTGAAACTTCTTGGGTTTGTCCGTTCTGGGCTCCTGTAGAAAGGTGACGACTCATGCTAAGCTAACGAACACACAACGGTTGTTATTTTCAGGCGATTCGACACTAAAGAAAAGAAACTTATTAATATGATATCTCACTAAATGTTTCTGAAACGCCAACAGAAATTAATCGAAGCCGAATATTGATGGCTAGAAACATGAATTTTGGAAATGATTGCATTGATGTTTTGTCAGTCAATACTGACTTTACTTCTTTAAAAACACTCTGTGGAGTTATTGGAAATGTTTGAATCACTGACGTCAGAAACAATCCTGCTGAAATCTAACTCTATAAATAGTTTAATATGAATAATATCTTTGTTCTTGAACATATGAACCGTGGATTCTTTGTGTTTCTGTCTCACCTTAAAAGCCTTGTTGGGGTCGGGGGGCATCGCCATGGCAGCGCCCGTCATCTGGTCCTGCATGACCCGTGATTGGTCGGCAGCTTTAAACCAAAAAAAAAAACTTTATTTACACATTTACAGAAATTATTCTTTTAATATATAATATTAATATTATATATATATTATTAATCACATGTTTCTCTTGGTTGTATGTCTTCTAGAAGAATTGATGTTATTAGTTTAGAAGTGATGATTATTACTAAAAACCTACGAACACGTTGAAATAAGGAAACGTTCTTTATTAGTTGAATAAGAAGAAGAAGAAGAACTCACCGTTGTCTTGTCCCAGGATGAGGCTGTACATGCTCCTCAGACCAAACACATTCAGGAAATACCACGACGCTGAACTCACCCTGAAGGATCAACAGATATGAAACATTAAATAAAGAAACAGGACATTAAGAAATAAACAAACATGTACAAACTCACCCCGTTATGAAATAATCAGGATCATTTTAACGCTTATTTAACCTTTTTCATTTTGTATTTCAACGTCACAGTGACACTTTTTATCACATCTTTATTAATCACAGACAGTGACGTGAATATTAATCATATATAATAATAAAGTGCGTCTGTATTAGTTCATATGATGGTTTTGGGTCTCTGTTAAACAATAAACAGCTAATTAATAACTTCTTGTTGAGGTTAAACACATATTTAATAATAGAAATAAAACACTGCTCCGTTATTTATGCAGTTATTATTGTCGTGTTGTGTTCATGGTCCGGTGGGACGTTACAGTGTTTCTTTACCAGGAGGCGTCCAGTGACAGCAGGTCGATTCCTCGCTGCAACATCGGCTTGAACCTCAGAGTCAGAGGGAACGGGACCTTAGCTGCACGACGACAACAAACACCATGTAAACAACCAGTTAAACAGCCAATTAAACAGCCAGTAAACAAACACGACGATCAAATGAAGATTTTTAACTTTATAAAGCGTCTAAAAGCAAATTGTCCTTCTTTGTTTAATCGTCAGACAAATAAATAGAGTTGTTATCACGTGATCAAGTTACAGAGATTCAGAATGACGGACCAAACGCCGCCACCACCTGCAGATCATAACTTATCATTTTCATCACTACAGTGAGAATAAACAGCTTCACACAGCAGCGATGCCCCCTAGTGGACCACATCAACATGACCACTGTACGGTGATGTTAATGTGTTCATGAACTCACTTATGACGAATCCAGAGAACGCCCAGTTGATCCATCCACCAATCACAATCATGGGCAGCACGTTGGTGAGGTTTCCCTTCATCATGTCGGTCAGCATGCTGGTGTCTGTTCAACGTCAACCATCACAGTGTAAATAAAGGTTTAACGTCAACCATCACAGTGTAAATAAAGGTTTATTTCTAGTCTCTGATCTCTGGTCATGTTTCATTGTAAACAACCAACCAGTGTTTAAAGCAACAGGAGGAGAGCTAGTAACGCTAGCAGCACCCCTAACGGCTAACCAGCAGGAGGAGAGCTAGTAACGTTGGCAGCACCG